ATTTATCCAGGTGAAGAGTAAAAATGGTGCAAACAAGCCAAAATAGCAAATAACTTCTCATTATATTTAATTTTTACATTGAAAACTGTTCAATTTTACATCAGAATAAGTTGAATATAGTTGCTATTTTAGAGTATCGCAACACCTCACAAATACATGATGAAATTACGCATAAGACATTTGAAAAGCTGTTTTTCTCTTTCTACTACCCAGTTCAACCCATCCCTGCAACAGCACCACCTATCCAACTAAGTGCCAACCTACATGGAAGAAGCTGCCTTTTTCTGTGTTGTCTGGCTCTTTGGTTCAAACACCCCCAAGTTGAAAGAAAACATAATTTTAAACTGAGAAAATATTTCAAACTTTCTACCTTTCATATTCTAGTCAGAATAAAATGGTGATAAAGGAATTAAAATCAGGGTCTCACAGAGACAGCTGGCCCCCATGTTCACTGCAGCATTATTCACTACAGCCAAGATGTGGGAACAACTTAAATGTCCACAGACAGATAAACAGATTTTTTAAATGTGGTATATACATGCAATGGAATATTATTCAGCCTTTAAAAAAAAGAAGGAAATACTGCTGTTTGTAACAACATGAATAGACCTGGAAGCCATGCTGATTGAAACAATCCATACATAGAAAGACAAACACTGGATGATCTCACTTACATGGGAATATGAAACAGTTACAAACCCACAGTAGCAGAGGCTACAGTGGTGGATGGGTGCCAGGGACCAGGGGGACAGGAAATGAGGAGGTGATGGTCAAAGGGCACAAGTTTCAGCTACGCAAAATAAGTTGTAAAGATCTACTATACAGCATAGTGCCCATAGCTAATGATACTGTTTTGTATGCTTAAAATTTTCTAAGAAGGTAGATCTTATGTCATATTCTTACCACCCACACACACAAATCATGATAATAATAATAATTAGAAGAAAGGAGGTGGGAGGAAATTTTGGGAGGTGACAGATATGTCTATAACCCTGGTGGTGACAGTTTTATGGGCGTATACTTATCCCCAGACTCATCAAGTTGTATATGTTAAATACATACAGATACATACAGCCTTTTACATGTCAGTCATGCCTCCATTAAGTGTTTTCCTTTATTTTTTATTTATTTACTCTTTTATTTACTTTTGACCACACCACGTGGCTTGTGGGATATCAGTTCCCCGACCATGGATTGAACCCAGGCCCTCGGCAGTGAAATCATAGAGTCCTAACCTCTGGACCACCAGGGAAGTCCCTAATTTTTAAATTTATTTTTTTAAGTTTTTAAGTGTTTTTCCTAAGGAATGAAATGGTGATACCAGCAAAATACTTATAATAGAGAATATGGGATAGGGAAGGTGGGAGGGAGACGCAAGAGGGAGGAGATACGGGGATGTATGTTTATGTATAGCTGATTCACTTTGTTATACAGCAGAAACTAACACACCATTGTAAAGCATTTATACTCCAACAAAGATGTTTAAAAATGTTAATAACAGTTGTTATTAGCAACAATAACAGTTACAGATGAACACATGTACATGTTTCTTCAGTTTCCCCATTTGAAAAATGAAAAAGATAACGAGGTTAAAAAACCTACCTATGAGCTAATTGTGGAGAATAACCAAGGGTATTGCCATTCAGATGCTAGCAGAATGCCCCCAAACATTAACTGTTGTACTCCACCTCCAAAACTTCCATTTTTCCATAAAAACTGGAATGCAGCAGTATGATATTTGTCGTCAAGCTTTCTGGATGCGACAGTGGTATTTCACAGCTTCTGCAAATGTCACTATTGGCTGCCGATAATTGGAATCATTGAACCATTTGGTGGACCTGGGCATTATCTAGTGAGTGTGTAACAATTTTAACTCAACGTTATGTAAACTGACTTAATATAAACTAACGTCGGTTCAATATGTATCTTACGCTGATGTATAGATTCAACAAGAGGGAGATTTTAAACTCTAGCTCCTGTCCTCTAGTAGATTATAGATGTAAAGTAGTACATTACTCTAAAGGAACAAAACAGTAAGGTTATAAAGAGTGGTTTCTTTGTTAAATCTTATGCCTTATTGTTCATTCATTTTAATAAACGTATCTGTATTGATACCAACTTCTGAGCTTAAAGCAGAAGATGCCAGGATAAATGAGACGTAGCCACTTCAATCAAGGAACTCTCAGGGAAGTGCAGAGACAGACATTTAAACAAGTAGGTACAATATGAGGAGTTAAACACTGTAACTGAATCATTGTTTTAAGTGTAGTGGAAACGGAGAGGGAATTCATAACTAGATGTTAGGACATGAAGTAAAGCTTCACTGAAGATGAGGCATTTTAACTCTTCCAGAATCAAAATAGTCAGGACCAAGAAGGTGAAGTTAGTAAAGGGGAGAAAATTCTAGACAAGAGGAGCAGGGAGTGTGTGGGAAGAGCCTGATACTGAGTTTTGACGCTGTTTTAATTTTTCTTTGCTCGTAGGAGAAGAAACAGAAAAAGCAATAGAGCCAAGAGATGTGAACTATGGGAGCTAAGATATAAGTTCAGAAAGGGAGTAACTTAAGGAAAGACTAAAGGGCACATCTGAGGCTGCCTAGGGATACTTTGTTCCAGCAAACTGGCCCGTACAGAAATAGAGGGTGAGGAGGTGGGGAAACTGCTTACGACAGAGACAAAATAATTAAGACATGAATCCCAACAGAATGAGTTGATCCAGAAACTTTATCCTAACTTACAGATGCTTCAAGCCGAGTGGTTCTGCAAAACACTAGGTAAATAACAAAGACTCCAGAAATGCAAAAGGATATAGGAATAGGACTAGAATAGCAATCTAAATATCATATAGAAAAGACTATAAGGAAAATCAAGAAAAATAAGTCTATCAAACATGTATATTCTAAAATTACATAATTCCAATGTTACTATTTCTGATGGAACCCAAATTCCTTTGGTTCACACTTTGACATTTAGAGTGCTTTAAAATTTTCACCAAGACCCTAGTGATTCAGTCATGAAAACCCTAATTCTACAGAATGTATAGCCTTAATTCTTGGCTGTATTCTGGAGCTGCCTTGCTTCACCCAGCTGACCTCCTGTGTCTGAGTTCAACCATGTGTAAGCTCTGGGCAAATCTCAGTGCAAGTGCCTAATGTGGCTCAAGACGGGCCGCTGGAATCCAATAAATACTGATTGACGGTAATAGAGACAGTACCACTCTTCTTAGATATGTTGTCACTGTGCCTGCAGGAAATCACCGACAGTCTGTGCTCTTCAGGACAGCTTCCATGACAGCAGAAATTAAACACCAGAAAACTCGAAGCTACACAAAAGTCATGGGACATCACTCAGAACCTTGCATCATTCATGACTTTCTGTATTGTCTTGGCACAAAGAACAGACTGAGAATTTTCAATATGTCTGTGCTGTGAGCAGTAAAACTCTGGTGGCCAGGCCATGGCTTTCAGGGGATTACATTCTTTCAAAGCTAAGTTACAAATTCTTGGAGTAGAGGATGGTGAGGTTCATAGTCCCTTCTCAAGTTTTAGCCTCAGTCCAAGAGGGGAGAACTTTTTTGGACTCCTTGAAGCCGTACTGGAGAGAGGATGTCTAGACTCTCAGTACACTTCTTTGCACCTTGCCCGGGTTAGAGTGGCCAATCTTATTGGGCAGAATTTGACATATTCACTGGGCTACATTATTACTAGTTGTGATACCATTCTCCAAAAGACATCTCTCGTGTGCAGTTTCCTCCTGAACTTTCTGTCTCTGTCATCATGGACGTTGCACTTGTGACTGCTTGTGTGCCATCCTCACTACTGTATCGATGGCCTTGACTCTGCTCTGAGAAGGGCCAGTTTTCTCTCCCTGTTTGTCTTCACATCCTCCTAAAAATGTGAGGACAAAGACAAATCTATTCCAAGTTTCATTTCATCTTTAAACCTAAGCCAAGACTTTTTTTAGTCAGCTTTTGCCAGTACTTTCCATTGTCGTCTATGATACTTACATTAATAAAATGAGCAGTTCATGATTCTTGTGGGAGGGGTGAGTGTAATATCTATATTTTCTGTTTAAAATTAAAATTATTGATCCAGTATACGACAATAGTAATAACAGCTAATATGCCAGGTATTCCTTTCAGCACTTTACACACATTAAGTAATCCACTCCTCCAAACAATCCTATGTAGCAAATTGCTATCATTAGAGCCACTCTAACTACACAGACATTGAGGCACAGAAAAGCCCAGTAAGTCGCCCAAGATCCACAACAAGTAAGTGTCTAAGTCAGGAGTGTAAACCCAGGCGGGACTCAAGAGCATGAGTTTTCAAATACAATACTATTGTATCTCTTCAAATACTACAGCATGAGTAAACTAAAATATATGGGGACTTCCCTGGTGGTCCAGTGGTTAAGAATCCGCCTTCCAATGACGTGGGTTCAGTCCCTGGTCAGAGAACTAAGATCCCACATGCCCTGGAGCAACTAAGCCCACGCACTACAACTACTGAGCCCGGGTGCTCTGGAGCCCATGAGCCACAACTACAGAGAAGCCTGCACGCCGCCACGAAGATCCTGCATGCCTCATCTAAGACCCATGAAGTCAAATAAACAAAAACAAAGCCAGAATCAGAATCTACCATCTCCATAAAAAATAAATAAATAAAATATATGGAGATGGTGAACCTTATATAAAAATCACAGTATACGCCAAACATTTCAGACTTTTCATTTCAAACATTGCTGAAGTCCAGGCAAATGTATAGAATGGATGAAGACTTTAAAACAATGGTTAATACATTTGAAGAATACCCACAGGAAGCATGAAGGAATCTGGGGAGAGTTAAAAAGATAAGCACTGTACTTTCAAGTGCTATTTACCCTTAAAAGGTAAATGTCCCTCATGAAGGGTTCTTTGAACCTTTGGAGGCAATATTATGAAATAAGTTTGAAACTTCGGCCACAGTTTGTTGTTCTGGTAAAACGAAAATAATGTACCTCGATAATAATTCCCATGCTCGCCTGGATCGGGCTTGAGGAAGTTGAGGGGCCATTATGCGGCTGAGTCATAGCTGCGCGGGGCAGGGCCGGACCTCGAGGGGTCTCCTCCCTTTGCCCCCAAAGTCAGCGGGGAACAGCCGCTGCCCGGCAGGAGCCTGGCCCTGGTGGGTGAAGTCATGAACCCCGGAAACTCCGACCAAAGAGCATCGGCAAGAACAGAGCTGGTCCCCACAAACCTCCCAGCATCCAGGGGAGGGTCACACAGCGGCTCTGGAAGGATTCCTGCGAGTTCCTCTGGTTCACACCCCACTCTTTGACCCTCTCCTCTTCTGGTTGGACAGTAGTTAAAGCCTCACGTCGAGGAGACAAAGCAGAAGCTGGAGCATGGTGGGTCCACTGAACCTTGTTACTAAGGGAAAATGCAGCCATGCTGTGTGAAGAGGGGGTCTTTTTTTTTTTTTTAAACATCTTTATTGGAGTATAATTGCTTTACAATGGTGTGTTAGTTTCTGCTTCACAACAAAATGAATCAGTTATATATATACATATGTTCCCATTTCTCTTCCCGCTTGCGTCTCCCTCCCTCCCACCCTCCCTATCCCACCCCTCCAGGTGGTCACAAAGCACCGAGCTGATCGCCCTGTGCTATGCGGCTGCTTCCCACTAGCTATCTACCTTACGTTTGGTAGTGTATGTATGTCCATGCCTCTCTCTCTCTTTGTCGCAGTTCACCCTTCCCCCTCCCCATATCCTCAAGTCCATTCTCCAGTAGGTCTGTGTCTTTAGTCCTGTCTTACCCCTAGGTTCTTCATGACATTGTTTTTTCTTAAATTCCATATATGTTAGCATACGGTATTTGTCTTTCTCTTTCTGACTTACTTCACTCTGTATGACAGATACTACATCTATCCACCTCATTACAAATTGCTCAATTTCGTTTCTTTTTATGGCTGAGTAATATTCCATTGTATATATGTGCCACATCTTCTTTATCCATTCATCCAATGATGGGCATTTAGATTGTTTCCATCTCCGGGCTATTGTAAATAGAGCTGCAATGAACATTGTGGTACATGACTCTTTTTGAATTATGGTTTTCTCAGGGTATATGCCCAGTAGTGGGATTGCTGGGTCATATGGTAGTGCTATTTGTAGTTTTTTAAGCAACCTCCATACTGTTCTCCATAGTGGCTGAACCAATTCACATTCCCACCAGCAGTGCAAGAGTGTTCCCTTTTCTCCACACCCTCTCCAGCATTTATTGTTTCTAGATTTTTTGATGATGGCCATTCTGACTGGTGTGAGATGATATCTCATTGTAGTTTTAATTTGCATTTCTCTAATGATTAATGATGTTGAGCATTCTTTCATGTGTTTGTTGGCAGTCTGTATATCTTCCTTGGAGAAATGTCTATTTAGGTCTTCTGCCCATTTTTGGATTGGGTTGTTTGTTTTTTTATTATTGAGCTGCATGAGCTGCTTATAAATTTTGGAGATTAATCCTTTGTCAGTTGCTTCATTTGCAAATATTTTCTCCCATTCTGAGGGTTGTCTTTTGGTCTTGTTTATGGTTTCCTTTGCTGTGCAAAAGCTTTGAAGTTTCATTAGGTCCCATTTGTTTATTTTTGTTTTTATTTCCATTTCTCTAGGAGGTGGGTCAAAAAGGACCTTGCTGTGATTTATGTCATAGAGTGTCCTGCCTATGTTTTCCTCTAAGAGTTTGATAGTTTCTGGCCTTACATTTAGGCCTTTAATCCATTTTGAGCTTATTTTTGTGTATGGTGTTAGGGAGTGATCTAATCTCATACTTTTACATGTACCTGTCCAGTTTTTCCAGCACCACTTATTGAAGAGGCTGTCCTTTCTCGACTGTACATTCCTGCCTCCTTTATCAAAGATAAGGAGACCATATGTGTGTGGGTTTATCTCTGGGCTTTCTATCCTGTTCCATTGATCTATCTTTCTGTTTTTGTGCCAGTACCATACTGTCTTGATTACTGTAGCTTTGTAGTATAGTCTGAAGTCAGGAAGCCCGATTCCTCCAGCTCCGTTTTTCGTTCTCAAGATTGCTTTGGCTATTCGGGGTCTTTTGTGTTTCCATACAAATTGTGAAATTTTTTGTTCTAGTTCTGTGAAAAATGCCATTGGTAGTTTGATAGGGATTGCATTGAATCTATAGATTGCTTTGGGTAGTAAAGTCATTTTCACAATGTTGATTCTTCCAATCCAAGAACGTGGTATATCTCTCTGGGGTCTGTTGTTTGTTTTTAGTTTAAGAACCTCTTTTCACAAAAGAGTGATCAATACTGGCCCAAAGTAAACTTGATAAATAATTAAACTGCCTGGGCATAGCGTTCCCACAGAGGTATTTGTTCTTTCAATACACAAATAAAGAGATTCAAAAGTAATAATAATAATATCCACAGTTGGTTTACTGGAGAGGAAATTTTTAGCCCTAATTTCCATTGTTATTAGTATGTAAGGAAATGTGAATTCTACACTTATGGGGAATATTAACAGGTACAACATTTCAAAACCTTAAAACTCTCTTTGACCCAGGAATTCCACGTCTGAGTATTTACCCTAAGGAAATAGAGATGCGTAAATTATTTAAATACAAAAGTGAGTATTGCATCAGTAATATCTGAAACACTGAATAATTGGAAACCATATACATCTCCAACAAGAGGAACGTGGTTAAAAGAATCAAAGTATTGCATACATGTAATAGAAGTCTATGCAACCATTAAATCAGGACTGGAAAGAATATTCAATAACATTGTATAGTTAGGTTTAAAAAAAAAAGGCAAACAAAAAACAGTGTGTACAAAATGATCTCAACTTTCAAAATGCAAATTTGTTTAAAAATAAACACATAAAACAAAAAATAAGTAATACTCTTAGTCTTATGGGATATTTTTATTCTTTCTTAATGTTAATCTTGATTCTATAAACTTGCATCAAGTACACTTATTTTCCTTGACTTAAATAAAAATGAATATAACTTGGTAATGAGTTGCCTCTAAACATATTACAATATATTTCAAAGCAAAAAATGTGATTATAAAATTTGTCATAGTGTGTTTGCTCTTATAGGCTATTCATAAACTATGACATAAACCAAAAGTAAGGTGAATTAAAATTGTGTGAGTTGTTATGGATTCGCTGCTGAAAAGTAAGGCAAGAGTAATAGACCGATAATGATCCAATAATGATCTTTAAGTATTTTAAAACAGAAGTCAATTCACTGAATAATATTCTTCGAAAGTGGAGGGATATACTATGGACTAAAACTCAACCTTTAGTAAAAGAAAAGAACAAGAGAGAAAATAGAAAGGATAAGGTGATATAGAAAGGGTAAAGATCTTATTTTCCTTCCTTTTACACCCCAAATGGCGATGTTGTTAATAAGTGTACAATAAAACTTCCCTTAATTCTACTCATTGAATCAAATGAGTTGTTTCCGAAACCTGCATCTGCAAAAAATGTCCTCTGTGAATAAATACAAGGGACATGAAGAATTAATAGGCAAGGGTTTCCCTGGTGGCGCAGTGGTTGAGAGTCCGCCTGCCGATGAAGGGGACAGGGGTTCGTGTCCCGGTCCGGGCAGATCCCACATGCCGCGGAGCGGCTGGGCCCGTGAGCCATGGCTGCTGAGCCTGCGCGTCCAAAGCCTGTGCTCCGCAACGGGAGAGGCCACAACAGCGAGAGGCCCACGTACTGCAAAAAAAAAAAAAAAAAAAAAGAATGAATAGGCAAAATATCCATTTTCAGCATCCCAGAAATCCAGACATCTCCTTTTAATTACATATATCCATATTGATAGCGATATCGATACAGATATAAAATGCTAGAGAAACATTTGTAAACAAGTCTTTTTGAATGCATTTGTGAGCTGAAAGAAGTAATGAGCTTAAACTAAAAACAAGTATATAATAATGGTGGGAACACAGAATTAAGTGGAAGAGTAGAGTCATGCAAACTTGAAGCCTTTTGTTGAACCAGAGAAAGTCACATTTAGTTTTTTTCTCATCTGTGGGTCTTGAAAGTACAGAAGACAAAACAGAGACACCCTCTGCCTGGGAAATAATAGAAGCAACTCCTCCCTCTTGGCCCCCCTTCCCCTTAAAGCCAGAAACACAAAGGGGGTTTGTGTGAGTTTGCAGGAGGGGAGGGAGGAAAGACCACTACCCCACCAGGAAAACTCAAGTCTTGGTGTTGATTCCAGAGTAAAACACCTTCCCTGAGAATGAAAACCTTCAGTAGGTCTCACATGGGTTTGCAGCCAAACTTCAAATTTATTTGGATTTTCTGAAAAATTTCAGGCCAGGAACTAAGTGTAAAGTGGCCTCCAAGGATATACAAGGTTCTGATCTAGTAATGGTGCTCACACTGGGAAACGTGGATTGGACAGAGAACTTCTAAGATTGACCCCTTGTGCGATTTGAATTTTGAAACCTCTGTTTATAAAATTTTTAAAATTAAGTGGTCCTTGACTGAGAGTGTCTGTAGTATGTTCCTGGTTAAGAATTGCTTATAGATATATTCCCAGAATCTATGGATTTATGAAGAATGACTCTTTAGAAAATGTCACAAAAACTAGAGTCTAAAATAAAGACATTTAATAAGCTAAATGCTCCCTACTTTGTAAAATAATCACACAGCAGCTCACTTGAAGACCTCATCTATTATTCTGAACCAGAGTAGCTGTCTTATATACTGATATGACCAATTTCCTTCTCATGCTATTCTTAATTTCTTTGGTCTCTGAAAGACACCTTGGAATCAGAACTGCCTCTAAAAATTAGGAATGAAGGACCGAACACTTCAGAGGCCTATGTATTTACTTGTTTTCTTATTTTTAAAGAGCTCACTAGTTTCAGAAACAAAGCAAAACAAGAAACCTAAGGATGGAAAAGAAACATTCAGGCATTAAAGTACGTAATATTTCCGCATGCAAGAAGGATGTTGATACCTTTGCTTCAAGTTTAAAGTCCAATAAAGGATGCCTTATAATAATGAATTTTAATTTCAAGCTAACTGTAATGGCTTTATACATGCGTGCACACACACACACACACACACACACACACACACACACACACACCCCTTTGATTCGCAGAAGGTGCCAGAGTATGCATAAGACAGAGGAAAACACTTGGAACTTTACATATACTGAGTGATGGGTCTTGGGGAAGCCAGGATATATGAAACAAAGGATTTTAAATGAAAAAAAAAAAAAGAAGAAGAGTATCCACATGAGACAGCCGAGGTAGAAGCCTGCACTCCTAGCTGATGTAAAGAGCAATGGCAGTTGAACTAGAGCAGCGTGTCCAGTCTTCTATCTGTGACTCTGTCAGTTATATTTATTACCAGAACCCCTGAGT